TCTATATGGTGCCGCACTAAAAAGAGATACCAAATCTCTTGGGGAACGTACTAGGTCTGCAATGGAAAAATTCCAATCCGCAGACCAATAGAAATAAAAAAAGATTCCCAAGATTTACTCTTGCCTTTTTTTTATCATTTCATTTTGTTCTATTAATTTTATTTCTTTCGCCGTGTCATTCAACTTCTGTCAAACAGCATTTCAAACTCCGCATTAAAAAAAGCTACGCAGTGGGTTTCGCATTAGGAAATAGAGTTCAGTTGTTGTTAGAAGATTGCGTTTTGCCTCCTATAAAGATCATGAACTCTAAGAGGGCAGTTTATCGTTCTGTGACATTGCTACTCGCATTGGTTGGAATTCAATGACTGCATTGCGAATTTGGAATCAATACCGGTTGATTCATAAATTGTGTGACCAATTTCAGATGCTCATAAATTTTTATTGAAAAAAGCTATTTACATGGAATTTTCCATGTGGTTTCCTCTAACCCAGTACGCTTTTCCTAAGCGTTTCAGTTATGCCAAAAGAGTTTTTTCAACCATATTTCGCGTATTTTTCCAACTTCCTCTTAAATTGCTTTTTGAAATGCTCTTACTTTATGTCCATTTAATTGTTTTTTAAGTATACCCATAAAAAATAATCACAGGGAACACAGACAGAGGATAGTGATAGTCATTTATCAGGAGGAAGAAAATTTATTTTTTTATATTTCAATCATCATATAGTTGGTTTTGCAGTATGTTTTGGAGTACAATGTTGGTGAAAAACGAAGTTTCCTTGAGTGTAAGGACTTTTACTTTCTCTAATCAAATGTTTTAAAAATTTATTATGATAGTATTTAACATTAATTTTAGACTTCGGTTCTACAAAAAATGGTTTTGTTAAACCTTGAAGGGACATTCCCATCCATAACATAACACATGTCGGCCAACTTGCCTTTTGTAAAATAGCTTCGTCTTTGTGATGCTTTTTGCGAAAAATGTATTGTATCTTCGTTTTGCCAGGTGTGAATGACAGATGAAACAGTGCTTCATCTAAAGTTATCCCTGTTTTGTATCTACCTTTGCTTAACATTAAATACAGAGACCAAGAACGTTTTCTTCGTTTTTCTAAGGTCTTAACAGACATTTGATGACAGACTGAAAAAATTACTTTTTTATTACCAATTTTCTTTATCTAACGATAAATTGTCAATTTCTATATCTTTAGTCTCTTTACCATGGATTTTTGAGGCAAAGGATTTCCTACAGCGATAATTCTTTTTAAATTCTTTTATTCTTTTTCATTTTTTAAGGACTTCCTTTCGTTCACATTTATTTTCCTGGAGCTTTCAATTGAGAGTCAAATTTTATTTCTTTTTGAAGTTCTGATAGTAATACAATAGAAAAATGTCTTTTTTTTTATTTTTAAATGCTTCATTTTTTTAACAGAATTTAAACAATCATCCTTCAAAAGCTGTAAAAATTCGTTCCTGGTTTGAGGATCCAATGTCGGTACTATAATTTACTCCCACTAATAAAAATGATTAGATTATTAATTTAAATGTTTTATTTTTAAAATAAAACCAGTAGTAAAACGATAGAAATTCATCATAAATAGTTGTATGCTTTTAAAATTGGTCACACTAATTTTGAATCAACCGGTATTTTCTGAAGAATCGTTCTGAACTCTATGTAGGATCTAAAAAAAATCTAATAAACAGGCTCAAATACTCATCCTATATTAGAAAGGGATGGTATGACTACAAAAGAAAGGTATTTAAATCACAAAAGGTAGTTATATTTTAAAGAACACATTCAATGGAAAAACAATGTATCTATAACAACGAAAGGAATGAACTTTGAGAGACATGATTTGAAACGTTTTTTGATATTCTCTTTTTTTCTCTCCCTCTCTGCTCTTGTTTTAGAAATTGTCGATGATATCTGCAAACTCCCATCCAAAACTGGACCTTGCAAAGGTCACTTCCGAAGATACTTTTTCGATCACACGAAAGGAAATTGCGAGGAATTCATTTACGGTGGTTGCGAGGCAAATGCCAACAACTTCGAGACAGTGAGGGAATGTGAAAATAAATGCTTAAGAAGGACATGTAAGTATTTTTTAGTAGGAATTTCTTGTTTTCTCAGATAACAGTGGATAGAGCTTTAGCATTCAGTCTGTCAAAAGTTTAGGCTTGTGTCATTAACGCCACAATTGATAAACAGTAAAGTGTTCCATTCCACGTAATTCAAATTAAGTGAAACTTATTAAAAAAAATATTACTTTTCTATTAACTAAAAAAAATTTAATTTGTTTCGCTTATCTTGTTAATTTCTTTTTATTGTTTTAAATGTTTATTATACTTAAAATACTGCACAATACGAAATTTCATATATGTAACATTCTAATAGTATAATTATCTGTGCATAATACGAGTTATCATACTTATAACATTCTAATAGTATAATTAGTTGCACATAAAAAGAATTATCATATTTGAAACATTCTAACAGTATAATTAGTTGAGCATAATACGAATGATCATATTTGTGTAACATTCTAATTGAATACTTTTTTGTGAATAATACGAATTATCATATTTGTAACATTCTAATAGTATGACTAGTTGTACATAGTATCATATGTGCAACTTAGATCTAATATTAGTGAAGGATTTACCTTTCCTGCTATTTTATCCATTGATTTAGAACTATTCAAAAGGCTATACTTCTAAGAATGATTAAAATAAATTCACTGTGCAGAATTTCAGAAAACCGATGTTACAATTGTAACATTTAAGTATCACTTTGTATGAATTTATTTTAGCTCGATTAGTAAAGCAATATTTTTTCAGAATAATCTATTAGACGAATCAAAACCTTCAGATTACAAATGGTAGTTAGCAAAAAAAAATCCATATTAGAATTTTTGTTGTTTCCTGATGCACTTGTACTTTTTCTATTATGATGGAGAGATTTTTTATGTTTATTTGTGCTGTTATTATTGTCTTTATTTTCATCTTGAGGTACAAACAAAAGCTAGAGATAGATGAACAGAAACATTCAATACAATCACAGAAGAATATAGACTTGTAAGAGGCCCGCACCTCCCTCGCGGTTACCTAGATGTAAGGGGGGGAGGGAAGAAACACTCGACATGATTCAACTAATCTATTTCCGCGCACTAAGAGCAGACACAATTTCAACTAATAATACTGGGTTTTCCAATAAGGACTTGGCAACTTTTTTTCAAAATAAAATGAAAACCATTTGAGATATTTCAAAAACTTTATTATCGGGTTGAAGTACATTCAAAATATTTATGAATGGAAATCGACTTCGCTCATATGGCCACAGCGGGCACGTTTGCAGCGGTCGATTCGTTGGACCCAATTTTTCATGACTCGGCCACACATTTCGGCCGAAACGGCTGCTATTTCGCGTTCAATGTTGGCTTTGAGCTCTTCCAACGTCGTCGGCTTATTAGCATAGATCAATGACTTGACGTAGCCCCAACGAAAAAAATCTAGAGGCGCTAAATCGCACGAACGAGGCGGCCAATCGACTAGTCCATTCCTTGAGATAACAAGCTCATCAAACTTGTTCTTCAATAAATCGATTGTAACGTGTGCTGCGTGGCTTGTAGCGCCGTCCTGTTGAAACCACATGCTGTCCAAGTCCATATATTTCGATTCGGGCCAAAAATAATCGATAATCATGGCGCGATAACGATCACCATTCACAGTAACATGGGGACCACTATCGTCGACAAAAAAATATGGCCCTATGACCCCACCCAAACCGCACCAAACAATTATCTTTTGTGGATGAAGTGGTTTTTCATTAGGCACCCGCCCAATACCGCATGTTTTGTTTACTGACAAACCCATTGAGCCAGAAATGAGCTTCGTCACTGAAGATGATTTTGCGATGAAATTGATCATCTTGGCGCAGCTTTTCCAGAGCCCAATCGGAGAACGTATGTCGCTTAGAATGGTCCATCGGCTTCAATTCTTGAGTGAGCCTGATCTTGTATGGGTGTAAAGTAAGATCCTTACGCAAAATTCGCCATAAAGTGGTCTTGGCGATTCCCGACTCTTGAGAACGCCGTGGAATTGACTGATTTGAAACATTTGCTACGGACGTTTCAACGGTAGCGATATTTTCGACACTTCGACCAACCCGTAGTCTCACTGGCACGGCAACGTCACACAACGAATATGTAGACTCAAACTTTTTCACTAAACTTGTTTCTGCCTGTCTACTAGGGCGAGAATTACGACCGAAAATCGGAGTTAACGTTCTTAAAGTAGCGGCCACAGACTCCGAATTTCTGTAGTAAATTTTTAAGATTTGCAGAGGTTGTTCTTTCGTGTACTTCACCATGATGAAAAGGTTATGTCTACTGAATAAACTAACAGTGACATTTCGATGTTAAGTGAAAAGGTGCGTTCACAAACTAAACTCAAAATTGTCAAGTCCCTATTGGAAAACCCGTTATTAAGAGAATGTCTCATTGAAAACCATGAAAGTGGAACAACGACAGTAAAACGGGAGCAATTAGGCGACTAACAAACTTGATCCTTATCTTAATTAAGGATATAAGCAACTATCCGATTTAATCAAATCTTAATTCAATCTTAGTGAACAATCGTCACTTTAAGCTTTCCCTCTAATAAGAATCAAATCACTCTTAATTCTAATACTATACCTTTTGTAGAAATATCACCTGTCTCAAGTATATCTTCGTTGCTTCTCTCCTTCTAGCTAGAAAGCCTCGCATATTTATAGTAAGTTAATTTGCATATCACGACTCTCTTCTTCCGAAGGGTTGGTTGTGAATAACGCGAATGGATAGCCCAATGAATTCCCAAGAGGATTCATTAGAAGATCGCGTATAGAATCCGTCACAGACATTATTACAAACGATGGTCTTAGCATAGAACAGAAAAGGTGCGCTGCTTTCCTTTCGAGACGGGAATCCATTTCAAGCAAAAGTCCAACCTCTTTTCCCAAGGATACCTCCAAGCCTTATTCGTGATTCGAACCCGAATCCACTCGATTATAAGCCGAGTGTCATATCCATCATACTGGATGGGAGGCAGGTTATTTGCTGATAAATATATATGATGATAAGTTACGAGGGAAAGTCAAAAAGTAAAGGGACTTTTGCAATTTCTTTTTCCAAGCTTTAGCAACAGCCCAAGTATCCAGCCTTGAATGAGGAGTAGTCGGCAACATTTCCTTATAACTTTGCATTCGTCTTCCTCCGTAGTCGTTAGAGTATAGAAGACCGTTCAACATGGCAGATGCATTGTCCTACTGCATCAAGGAGGAAAGGATTGCAATTATTCACTTTTTTGTTTTTGGAAGGTGTTGTGGCGGTGTGATATCTATATGAACTAGTACCAACATTACTCGAAGACGATCGTTTTGGAGTGATTGGTTAAGTACTCGCGTTCCGAAAGGGGAAGGTACCCAGAACGAACCTTCCCTCCTTCATTGGTGACCCTGGCCGAGCAAAGGCCCGCAGTCGTGGCGCCATCTATCCACCGCAAAAGCAACTAAGCCGTCAAACATTAACGCAAATAAGCCGTTACTTCTCAAAGTCGTCTCACACAAATGACGCAACTCTCAAGTCGTCTCGCATGAATGACGCAACCCACCAAGTGACGCAACTGCTTACGTGCTCACCACGAATATGGTATCGTTTGTTCGCCTATTCGCCGAAACACTGGCAGGGGAGTATGTGGCGGTGTGATATCTATATGAACTAGTACCAACATCACGTGAAGACGATCATTTTGGCGTGATTGGTTAAGTACTCGCGTTCGGAACGGAAGGTGCGAAGAACGAACCGTCTTCCTTCAGTGTGAAACCAGTGGAAATTGTCCGTCGCATGCAAGCGCAGTACGGTGACAGCTGCTTATCGCACAGCAAGATTTACGAATTAATAGAGCGCTTTAAGCAGGGAAGAATTTCTTTACGTGAAAACGAAAGTTTGAGCAGTCCATCGACGTCAGCCACTGAGTACAATGTATAAGTCATTGAGGATACAGTGATGGAAAGGCATAATGATAAAAGAATATAGTAGGGGAAGAGTATAGTGAGGGAAGATTATAGTGGGAGAAGAGTATAGTGATGGAAGGGCATAATGATGGAAGAGTATAGTTAGGGTATAGTGAGGGAAGAATATAGTAAGGGAAATAGATATTGAGAGATGAGTATAGAGGGAGAAGAGTATAGTGGGGTAGAGTGTAATGAGGGAAGGGCATAATAATGGAAGAGTATAGTGAGGAAAAGGTATAGCGAGAGAAGAGTATAGTGAAGGAAGAGTATAGTAAGGGAAGTGTATAAAGGGGAAATATGGGGAAGAGTATAGGTAGGGAAGAGTATAGTGGGGGAATATAGTGAAGGAAGAGTATAGTGGGTGTATAGTGGGTGAAGAGTATAGTAAAGGAAGAGTATAGTGAGGGAAGAGTATAGTGA